TCAACATGATTTGGTGAGAAAAGCTCAGAGAAGCCTGGTTCCAAGTTTAGAGATTTCTCAGTGTCCTGTAATCTGGTTCTGTAAAATGAGAATAAGGACACCAATCCTACAGGGCATTTGTGAGAAGTAAATGAGATCAGAAATGTACAGCATCCAGCACAATCCCACACAGATAGAGGGCACCCAGAAAGTAGTAGGTATTTTCATGCTCAGAACCTTTGAGTCCTTAGTCAGAATGCAGGTTTGCATTCAAACTGGAGCCATTAGTAATCGTGATTAATAATGTTTATGGGTCACAGGCAAGGGAAACAACTTGATCATTCTACTGGAGGACAGGATGCACTCAAATAATCCAAAATGTTTAGCCAGCATTAGTAGCTGGGCACCTTGAGCCATAGGCGCCGAACCCTTTACTGTGATTTTTAAAGTAATATTTTTCAAAGACTTATCACAAACTTTTAGTTTCCCTTATTTTTGCAGAATTGTATTTTGCCACATTTGTCATTAAAAAACTCACTTCCTTTTTTTTTTTGTAAGCTTTTTTTTTCCTTTTAGTGAACATAGGTTGCTATCTTGAGCACAGCAGAACACAGACTGCTGAATTATCATTGTTTTCTAAGCTTTCCCCTCAAAAAAAGCAGAATGAAAACATCTTTATCTCTTTGGGAAATTAATTTAATGACTTGAAAGGTCAAACTCTTCAATGGAAGATTTGCCAGAAGACACAAAATTGATCAGGCAATGTATAAAAAGGTTCAGGATCAGCTAAATTTATTCTCGGGCTTGTAAAGATTTTCTCTAGTGGAAAACTGTAAGTGCTGTTTATTTGAACTATGTTCCAAGACCAGATGGACTGTGGCAATGTGAGATCATATATATTATACACACACACACACACACACACACACACACACATCCTCCCTGGTTACTCATTTCTTTGTCTTTAAATCCTGTTGAGGCAACGAGGCATTTTAACAAGCCATTCAGTTGCCATAAACAGTTGCAAACAAAATTACACAAAGCTAAACTGAGCAAGGTAAGAAGCCTGTTATGCTTAGACATTATGAGAAGTCAAAGAGAGCACAAAGGAAAGCTAACAGATTTGAGGTTTTATATATATCAGGGTTAATTTGTTCCAAGTTATACCACACAGGCTGGTAAAATGAGTCTAGGTTCATGACTTAACACTCAACTCAGCCTCAATTCACTGAACATCTTTGTGAAGACATCTCGCTAATTATAATTTGAGCTGGCT